GGGCAGAATCACCTCCTGGTCCTGCTGACCACACTGTCCTGATCCAGGCCAGGATGGCATTGGCCTCCTTGGCCCCCTGAGCACACTGTGGCTCATGGTCAGCTCCCTGTCCATCCAGACTCTCAGGTCCCTTTCTCCTGGTGCTCTCCAGCCTCTCTGTCTCCAGCCTCGTTTTCCCACCTGCTCCTTAGTCCCTCGGTGAAATGGGATAGAAACCTTTGTTTGAATTCCCTGTTTTCCCCTTCCAGCTGGGACACTCGGTCAAACAACACCTCCAAGCCTAGTCATTCCGTGGATGCTCACACAGCTGAAGTCAACTGCCTCTCCTTCAATCCCTACAGTGAATTCATCCTGGCCACAGGCTCAGCTGATAAGGTACCTCTGCCCTGACCTGGAACATCCCTGTTCAGTGTACACGTGGATGTGTGTGTTGGTTGCTTCAACAAAACATGTTTTTGTATCTTTCCCCTAGACTGTTGCTCTGTGGGACTTGAGGAACCTAAAACTGAAGCTTCACTCCTTTGAATCTCATAAAGATGAAATATTTCAGGTATAACAACATGTATTTATCTTTTGTGCACATAAACTTAGTTCTTAGCTGTCTGGAAAAGAAAAAAAAAAAGGTTTTTCCACTCTATTTTTGTCCTTAACTCATTCTTTTCTCTCATCTGCTTATAATTTTGTGGGTTATTGTTGTGGAGCTGCAGAGCTCCAACACAGATAAGAGTGTCCAGGCAGGCAGAATGGAGCAGGGCAATGCTCTGGAGCTTTAACCACAGCAGAAAGCTGAAATGTTAGCAGCACAGAATCCATTCAATTATTCATGGCAGCAGATTGAGGCAGGAGGCACAGGGAAATGGCTGCAGTGTTTCCATCCCTGTGTGATCCTCGAGGAAGGTTTGACTGCTCCATATGAACAGGATCACAGGAACATCCTCTGACAACAAACAGTCACTAATTTTGCTGGTGTAAATACAGAATATTCACATCATAGGTAATGTGCTTAGCAGACAAAGTATTTCCACCTCCAACTTGTGCCTTAAAAATGTAGAATTTTTGGGGGGGGATTACGACTTCAGACTGTAGTTGTACCTGAACAAATTGCCACACAGAAATGCCATATTAGTGTGCAGGGTTCTGTGTTCTAACCCTGTGATCCTGTAAGTGGTGTGTTTTGGAGAGCTTTGCCTCCAGCAGAAGTAGTAACTGTGATTTTTGGGGCAGTTAAACTCAATTACAGAGATAGCACATGAAAACTCTCCCCACTGCTGCAGGAATCTGTGGCTGCTGTTGTGCAATCCTTAAGATAAGGAGCAGCCAATACCCTTGGGAACTGTTTGCCCTTGGTAACACTTGGTTTTTCTTGGAGAAAAGGTTCCAGGTGGCACTTTGTGGTGCTGAAGTGCTTTGTTGGGGTGTGTTTCCCAAGTGCCTCCTGGGTTGAAGTGATTAGTGGGAATATTCATGTGAGGTTATTATCAGTTTGAATTCTCGTGGAGCTTTCAGACTACAAAGTGAAGTGTCCGTGGTGAATGTCAATGTTGCAGCTTCTCAAACTCACCCCTGAATCCCTCCCTGTGTGCAGGTTCAGTGGTCTCCCCACAATGAGACCATCCTGGCCTCCAGTGGCACAGACCGAAGACTAAACGTTTGGGACCTGAGGTAAACCCCAAATCACTCACATTTCCCCCCAAAAAATCAGTGCTTCATTGCATCACACCCCAAAACCCACCCCACCTCTCACCTTTCCCTCTCTCCTCTCCTTTTCCCAGTAAAATTGGGGAAGAGCAATCCCCTGAAGATGCTGAGGATGGGCCCCCAGAGCTCTTGGTGAGTCTTTTCAATCCAAATGATTACTTTGACCTGTCATCCTTGTGATGCAAATTTCCCAACCATTCCTCTCTTTGTCTCCCCCATCCCAGTTCATTCACGGTGGTCATACTGCAAAGATATCAGATTTCTCCTGGAATCCCAACGAGCCCTGGGTCATTTGTTCTGTATCAGAAGATAATATCATGCAAGTCTGGCAAATGGTGAGTAGGTTTGGGAAGGTGCAGGAAGTGGATGGTGTTGGGACTCACCTGGATTTCAGCATTCCTGGCTCCTTTCACAGCTCTTGGAGTTGCTCACTTCCTAGAACAGCTGGAATCTCAAAGGGACAGTGAAGTTTTCTCCAGCTTTGGTTGAGACAATGCTTTCCAAACACCCAGAAGCTGTTTTGTGTTTAAAAAGTGCTGGTGCAGAAGGAATTTTTTCCCTTCTGCATGTGAATGAAAACAGCATGTGAGAACCAGAGATGAAATTGAGGTTTCTGGAGCTTTTGTCTTCCAGAATGAAATCTTTGTACATGATCAAATGCTTCCCTGAAGATGGAAAAGTGAACAGGAACAGTTTCCTGTCCCCACATTCCCAGCTGGTGAAGGTTTTGGGAAGCAATCCTGACCATACTCCTCATTTTTGTGTGCCAATAAGTTGTGCTTGGCAGCATTCCATGCAGATCTTTTGGAAGGTGCTGCCAAGTAGAGGATCTCCTAAATGTACACCTGAAGTAACTCTTGCAGTGGTCTCTGTTTTAACAAGGGGATCTCCTATCCCAAAGATACTTGGGAATTATTCTGGAGACATGGCTGTTAGGGAGAAGGTTGGTTGTGTTGCTGCTTTGATGTTAACTGACCTTGGGCTCAGGGATGGGTGATCCATCTGCAGGTGATAAACTGCCAGAGCTTTGTGAAGTGTTGCAGGAGATGCAATCCTGTCCCAAGGGGTGGAAATGCTTCCTCAACCTCCATCTCTTTTGCAGGCAGAGAATATCTACAACGATGAAGACCCTGAAGGAAGTGTGGATCCAGAAGGTCAAGGATCCTAGATGACAACTGTTGCCTGTTCTTATTCTTTTTCCCTTCTCTTCCCTCTCAGCCCCGAGATTGACTTAACACTGGTTTTGAGACACACGTTAGACTTCGTGTTCAGCCATCCTCCTCCTCTAGATCCCATCCCAGGATTTCTCACCCAGCCAGGGAGTTCCCACCCCAAACAGGGCTCAGCCCCCTCAGCCAGGTCTGTGCTGCAGCTCCTGGCTCAGAATTCCCACAGCACCTTCTGTGTGGGGCTGTTTGTCCCATCTTAGCTGCCTCATCACACCCAGCAAACCCACCTTGATCTGGGTTATTTTCTCTCTTGCCCTTGCTCCACCCATGGAGCTTTTGCCTAGTTGAAAAGCTGAGCTGGCAGAGCTGCCCAGTGAGCCTGAGCCAGAGGAGATGATGTGTTAATCCAGTGGCAGCTCAGAAATGTGTGCAAGGTCTTGTCCTCCTCACTACAGCCCAAAAACCTTGGAATTCCTTTAGTTATCTGTACCTTGAGGGAGTTTTCTGCCTTGGCAGATACAAACCAGACTTACAAATTCTGACTTGAACCAAAATGTCTCTATTTTTTTTTATCTCCTGGCAATTCTGGGTGTCCATTCCTCTTTGCCTTTCTCCCACCTGCTGGGTGCCAGCAGTTCAGATTCCTTAGCTATTCCTGCAGAGCATTGTTCCTCTCCCATGTTTGGGTTTTTTTTGGGTTTTTTTTGCTCTATTGTGTGTTTCTGGAGCTGTGTTTTCACATAATGTTTCTTTCCTTTCTGTGAAATGGTTTTTAAAACTTGGGGCTTCTAAGTTGTTAAGGTGTTTGTACCAAGGGATGATCCCAGCTGGCATTCCCTGTGCCCTGAGCAGCTGGAATAAAGCAGATTCAACGTGGATAAACTACTTTTTTTAGGAGTTAGTCCTTGACCACTAGTTCCTGCACGTCTTCCACTCGGGTGTCCTGTGCCACCAGCAGCCTGTTACTGTCCATCTCCTCCTGACTGATTGCCTGTAAGTGCTTCAGATGGAATAAAGGTTTTCTACGTAAACACTGGTGAGTTTTGTGCTTTTTTCCTTCTGCAGCAACTGCTTTTTTTACCTAGGAAAGGAAGGACATGTATCCCTGGGATAGATATTCCATTGTTTTTAACACATGGAGGTTTCTCCCCCTCTCATTTTTGCTCCTCTCTTTGTGCAATGAGTCAATGAGCACTTAAAACCTCCAAGGAGTCACTGAATTGTTCCTCCCTCCAAATTTTGGCTCTGCTGCCTTTACCCTCTGCCCTTTTTATTTCTCAAGCAGTTGGATACAAACACTTTCGGTTTGACACCCAAACCTGTGATGTTGAGAATTAAAACTCTCCTTAAACTCTGACCTTTATTTTCAGTGTGAGACTATAAAGTGGAAACCTCTTCCCCCCCAACTTGTTCCTGTGAGCACATCCCAGTGCAGCAGAGACCCTTGAGATACAAAAGAAAAATCCTTTTCAAAGGATAAAGCTCTTCCTGATGTAAACTTTAAAACTAAACCCCTAAAGCTTCCAGGGTTCTCTGTGCAGGTTTACACAATTCCACCTCTGGAACAAGAAGGGTTTTTTTCCCCAAACACAGCAAAACGTACATCTGTTATTCCTCATCCATGTCCATTGTTCAGTGCAAGGATTGTTTGCTCTGCTCCTCTGTGGAAAAGCAGTTTTACTACATGAGCAACAGCAGCACCTGGAGAAATACACCCAGGGAAAAAGGCTTGTCTGGTGTTCCTGACTCCAGGCAGGATAAGCAGCATGAGGAGACATCCCTTGTAGATCCTGTCTGGTGTTTTTGCTACAAAGAGGAAAATTCCATACTTCTAAGAGTCCTGGTCTGCTTTTTCCTCTGATTTGCAAAGGTGTCCATACATTTCCAAGCAGCTCCTGTAAGGGTAGAGAAGGAATTTAGGCTATGGAATATTTAGACACTTTGGCTGCGGTGGGGGGGAAAGGGAATGTGCTATTTCTGGAAACCATTTTTTTCCAAAGTATGGAAGAAAAGGGATTGGGAAACACTTGAGGAGGCTCAGTGCATGGTCTGGTGAGCACGTGGGCCCAGCCCAGCCCTTCCAGAGCCCTTGGCAAACAGGATTGAACAGGAGGGAATGTCATCTCAGTGTGAGCTACAGGAAAAGGCAGCTCAGAGCTGCACTTAACCCTGAGGTCCCCAGAGCAAACGTGAAACCTCATTAGAGGTGTCCTGACACCGGAGAAGCCTCTTGTGCTGCCGCTCCCAGGGTGGCAATTTGTAGATTCCAGGAGTTAAGAGACTCCAGTGCTGCCCTGGGGATTAAATGTTGGACTGTGATTTAGGAGGAGTCCACACAGCAAGGACAGGGAGGTGTTGGGATCTGGGCTGAATCCTACATGCACTTTCTCCTGGGAATACATCTGGGAATGGCTGGGGACATCACAGGCTGAAAGAGAGCTCTTCCCTGTGCTCACCACCCCAAAGTCCTACCTGGAAAACCCTTTGGGGGAGGGAATATCCTCCTGGGGTGTGTTTGGAGGATTGGGTGGAGAAGGGGGAAAAGGGATACTAAAGGAACAGTGACTACAGAAAATGATTAAGTGTGTGCAGAGCTGAGATTGGAGCCACAGAGCAGCTCAAAGTTTGGTGAGCAGAACAGTCCACAAACTCCTGGACTTTTCCTGGAGCTTGCAGTGAAGTCCTGAGTGAAACCAGCAATGGAGTTAGGAGCAGAACAGAGTTCTCTCCGCTTGGGGAACATCCACAGCTCTGCTTCCCTAACCCTCAGCTCCTTCCCACGGATTCCTAAGGAAACCACCACTTAGGCAGCCACACCTTCTCCTTGGGAAGCGACTCCACCTCTCTGAGCTCGGGAATTTCCAGCAGATCCCTAGTTGCTGTTTGGCCAAGGGGCTGAGCTGTCCCACTAGACCTTTCCTCACACCCCACAAAACCTGTGATGTCTCATAGCTGTGTGACCCCATGCAGCATCCAGCATCTTCCCCACCCTTCTTCTCTTCCTCCTCCTCCTCCAGCCCCTCTGCCCCCAGAGATGAGGCACAAACACACTTGTAGATGGAAAGCTCCCGGTGGAGACTGGTCCTCAGCTCCTCCAGTTCCTGATTCTTACGCTGCTGGAGCTGCACCCCATTCTTCAGCTCCTTCAGCCTGTCTTCCAGCTCCTCCACCTGCTCCTAAGGGGGAGAGATCACCAGTGGATTAGCTGGGGGAGGAAAATTGTCTCCATGCTTCACTGCTGCCCACGTGTTCCTCAAGGATCTGCCTGTGGATGGTGCTCGTCTGGACAAGCACAGCCAGGTTGACACTGCCCAACCTCCCACTTTCAAAAAGCTGTGCAAAAAACCCCTTTGTTGTGCTCCACAGGTGGGAACTTGGGTTGGGCTGGGATGTGTTTTGTACTTAGGTTTCTCCCAGCTGCATCGTTTTGTCCCCTAAACAACTCTCTGTGTGTTTTGAGACGCTGCCAGAGCTGGATAAAACCATGAGTTTGAAAAGATAAACAAGGAATTTGGGGAAAATAAAATGTGGAGGCACACCAGGGATGCCCCAAAGACGAGTCCTCCAGGGGACAGTGGTCCCTGAAGTCCAAGACAAGTGGGATGCTGGTGGCCTGGTCCTCATCCCTGCAGGGAGGAGCTGGGAGGGAGAGGAATTTCAGTTTCCAGAACCTGCTCAGAGCCAGGCTGGGAGGAGGCAACGACTGCGAGCCGAGAACAGAGAGTGTTGAAAGGAGGGAGATTAATTGTGGAGCCTCTTTGCCAAATGTGCTCTTGGAGATATTGGGTTGCTTCATCCCTCAGGCTGAAGTGTCTGGGGGATGCCTGGCCCAGCCAGAAATAACCCTCTCAGGGGGCAGAGAGTCCCTGGGCTGCAGGCACGGGAGGTGAGACCCTTCCTGGCAGTGGGAAGGGCAGAATCTGCCCCAGCAGAGAAAGAAAAACTGTGTTTTATTCAAAACTGGACTTTCCATGAGCCTTGGCTCAGGCCTGTGGTTGTACAAACTGCAGGAAATGTGTGATGCCTGTGCTCAGCAGCTTTGGGAAGGAACCCACCATCCCCTCCACCCCATCCCTGCTCACTGGGGATGTTTCTGGGGGGGAGGCCAAAGCCAAGTGAGAATAGATACAGAAGAAATCCATTTTCCAAGCTGGGTTAAGCTGCTGAACTTTCCCACAGCAACTGTGGAACCTCAGGTTGGCCCTAGACCCAGGGGCTGCTGCTTCACCTGGTCTGTGCCAGGGTGGGGGAGAATTCTGATTCCAACCTGCAGGAGATATTTCACCTCCTCACCCACCCTGCTCCTCCCCTTGGCTCTATGAGCAAGACCTGCAGCATCCTGGCTGCAAAGAGCAACTCCCACCCTGTAAAAAGCATCAGAGAATCAATCAGGTTGGAAAAGGCCTCTGAGGTCATTGAGTCCAATCCATGACCCAACACCAACCATGGCAACTAGACCATGGCAATAAGTGCCATGTCCAGTCTGCCCTGAAACACCTGCAGGGATGGTGACTCCACCACCTCCCTGGGCAACACATTTCAGTGTCTAATCACCCTTACTGGGAAGAAAATCTTCCTAAAGTGGGTTGAAGAGTGTTCAACAGGACACATACCCTGTACTGCCCGACCTCCTCATCTCTCTTCTGCTTGACGAGGACGATCTGCTCCTCCAGGCTCCGGTTCTGCAGCCTCAGCCTGCTGACCTCCCCCTGCAAGGGCCTCAGGGCTTCCTTCATGCCCTGGATCTCCCCCTGCATCTCCTGCAGTGCCTTAGCCCCTGCCTCTCGCCTCTCCAGCAGCCTCAGCAGTTGGGGCTCGTAGTGCTCCTCCAGCCCCTTCCTGCTCTCCGCCACGAAGCTCTCGAACTCCACGGAGAGCCGACGGCTCTCCTGCAGGTACAGGTTGTCCTGGCGACACGGAGGAGCCTCCAGCCGCTGCCTCAAAACCTCCTTCTCCTTCTCACAGGTCTCCTTGAGCTGGGACAGTTCCCCTGAGAGCTGCCCCGCCTGGCTCTCCAGCTCACCCTGGTACGCCGCGTGCTGGGAGAGGTCGTGCCGGCGGCTCTCCAGCTGGTACTGGCAGGCCACACATTCCTTGGTCACCTTGAACAGCTTCTGCTTGATCTGCCTGATCTCATCCTTCAGGTTGTCCCTCTCCAGCTCCACCTTGGCCAGCAGGCGACAGGCAGCCTGGATCTCCTCGTGGGCATGGTGGATCTCCTGCAGCGCTGGCTCCCGGAGCTGCGCCAGCTCGGCGATCAGGCTGTCCCGCTCCTTCTCCAGCTGCTCCACGATTTCTATGCACTCTTGGAAGTAGTTGCCCAGCTCTTCTAGGGTCAGGCACTGATGCTCCGTGGTATCTGCATCCAGAGGGCCTCCTGCTCCCTCTGCATCCATGTCCAGAGGGATCCCTGCGCCGTCTGCATCGTCTGGGATCCCTGTCCTGTCTGTGTCCATGTCCAGTGGGATCCCTGTCCCACCTGCATCCTCATCCAGTGGGATCCCTGTCCCACCTGCATCCACGTCCAGTGGGATCCCTGTCCCACTTGCATCCACATCCAGTGGAATCTCCACTCCTTCTGCATCCATGTCCAGTGGGATTCCTGTCCCACCTGCATCCACGTCCAGCGGGATCACTGCCCCATCCACATCCAGTGGAATCCCTACTCCCTCTGCATCCACGTCCAGCGGGATCCCTGCTACATCCACATCCAGTGGGATCCCAGCCGTGGCTGAATCCTCATCCAGCTGGGTCCCTGGCATGTTTAGCTCCAAGGAAGTGTCCCCACTCTCTGCCCTCAGCTCCTGGCAGGTGTCTGGGCTGTCCTTGTGCAGAGGTGTCACCCCCACAGTCCCCACTGGGTCCAGTGGGGTGTGGGGATGGTCTGGGTGTGCAGCAGCTCCTGCAGCCTCTCCCTGCAGGGCTGAGGATGCTCCAGCTTCATCCAACTGCAGCTCTGGAGGAGGCTCAGGCTGTGCCATCAGGTCCCTGGAAAGGAGAGGAGATGTGAAGCAGAGCAATGAGTGTAACAGGTCTCAGCCTTTCCTGCCCACCCTGAGAGATCTCCACAGCAGATAGAACTGGGGCAACACCTGCTGCTGTCCCTGTGTCACCCACAGGTTGGGCAAGCTGTGCAGGGCTATGCTCGAGGCTCCACCTGAACCCAAAATAAGGGAAGAAAACACCCTCAAAGCGACTGACTACCACGGAGGAGGAGTGAGGGATACAAACCAGACCCCAAAACCAAGAGCTGCTCCAGTGCTGACAGCAACAGCCTCTGTCTCCTGGTCAATCTTGCCCAGCAGCACCGACGGGACCGGTGTGAGCACTCCCTGAAAACTCGCCGGGATTTCAGCATGTGGCATAACCTCACGGCAAGGGAATGTGGTGCTGAAGCTCAGGCAGGCTCCGGGAAGGCTGAGATGGAGCAAACCCCGCACTCACACCCCCCGGGAGAGCAGCAGAGCCTGCAGCAGGAGCTCAGCTTTGCAGAGTCATCCGAAACCGGCATTGTCCCCGGGCACAGCACCTGCAGCTGCCACCCCCAAATCCTCATCTCGCATTCTCCCGGCTGCTTTTTTTGGGGGGTAGGATGGAGAGAATAAACCCTCGGGGACGAGGCGAGGGTTTTCCTGCCGCTGCCAGGAGCAGGGGCCGGTGGTCCTGCGGGAGGATGCTCTCACCTCCCGGTCACGCCGCTGAGCTCATGGCTCGTCATTCCCTAAGGAATGAGCACGGGCTGGCACCCGCGGGCAGCGGCTTTAAGCAAAGAACTGATTTTCACCGATACTTTCTCTCCTAATAAGGCAGTTTTCGGCACTGATGACACATCGCAGCCTCGGACTCAACGGCCAGCGGCTGGAGAGAGGGGGCAGCGCCTGGAAAGGTGGGGAAAAAAGCTCCTCTGCTTCGTTTTGCCTTGCCCTCCTGGGTGCCAGCGCTTGTTTTTCGAAGTTCTTGGCACGGCGGGAGGGGAGGGCACTGTCCTGTCTTCGCAGTGGGGCTCACTCCCACCTGCTCATCCCACGACCCCCCAAACTCCTCCTCTTCAGGCTGAACAAACCCCAGAAGGACCATCCTCTCCCCTCCCCAGTCACTCCTGAGGGTCTAGGGATGCTGAACCTCAGATCCCCCATCCCATCCCTACACTCCAGGCTTTGGCACCCCCCTCTCCTTCCTTATGCTGGCCAAAAATCCCGCACCCATAGGACCCCCAACCCCTTCTCCACTCATCCCTGCTCGCCCGGGTGG